TCCTCCCTCCCTCCCTCTTTTTTTTTTAATCCTTCAGGATGCATGATCCCCCAGCTGGCATAGCTGCCAACTGGCAAATGTTGATAAATCAGGTAAAGACCTGCTCATCATTGTGATCATGCCAGTCCCCGGTGGATTACCAGAGGCAGGAAGGTCACCGTCTCCATGGCGGGGCCGTCCCAATGCCTGGGGGTTTCCTGGCTGGCCATCGGGCGAGAGGGTGTTAGGGTCCCTCCGGCTTGTGCCAGAGTCCAGGGGCCAAAGAGGCAGGGAACCACAGCTGGCGCCTGAGAGACCCCGATTTGGTGCCCTGCAATTGATCCTGCCGGGATGCCAGGTGGGTCTGACCCGGCCTCTCCTTTTCTTCCTCCCCCCCCCCACTTTCTCTCTTGAGATTGACAAGAAACAATACAACAAGATCCTGGAGCTGATCCAGAGCGGGATCACGGAAGGCGCCCGGCTGGAGTGTGGCGGGAAAGGCCTGGGCCAGAAAGGCTTCTTCATCGAGCCCACCGTCTTCTCCAACGTGACGGACGACATGCGCATTGCCAAGGAAGAGGTACACACGTACACACAGATGCACACAACCTCTTTCCCCATCGGCACCTCAAGCCAAGAGACTGCTGAACCCTCTGATCTCCTGGGATTACTGAGCCCCCCCCCTCCCAATTTCAGAAAACGTTCTCCCTGCGCCTTGGGAAGAGGGAAATCCGCCCCTCAGCCCACCCACCACCCACCCTGCGCACCCTGGCCTTCCAGCGCAAAACGGCTCAAGAAATCTTAGCTGGCTTTTAGCCCGCATGTTTTATGACTTCTCTTAAGTCAATGACATGCGCCCATGCCTTTGAAAACAAATGAAGTTGTTGTTTTGCACACACCCAGAAAAGGATCGGCTTTGTTTTCAGAAGGTTATCTTTATTTATACCCTTACGCCTCGCTGGGTACCTTCAGCCAGAGAAGACAACTCTGGCTGAAGGAGTGTCGGTCTCTGTCCACGGAAGCAAATGGACACAATTTCATGGAGGCAAGGGTGCATGATTTGAACTGGGACCCTGTCTGTGCAGGAGGGGATCAACCCTGTTTCCGTAGCCACCCACCTCCAGCCTCATGCTGAAAAGCCTCCCTGCCAAGCAGTTCCTTTCCCCCCCCCAAGAGAAAATGGCTGCCTTTGGGGACCCGGTCTTGGTTCCACATGGACCCTCTCAGATCCTATCGAGACAAGGAGAAACCATTAAAACAAAACAAAACAAACAAAAAACACAGACCTCTTGGGAAGGACTCCCTTGTCAGATCCCTGCTATATTTCTCTTCCAGATTTTCGGGCCTGTCCAAGAAATTCTGCGCTTTAAAACCATGGACGAAGTCATCGAAAGAGCGAACAATTCCGACTTTGGGCTGGTGGCCGCCGTCTTCACCAACGACCTCAACAAGGCCTTGACCGTCTCCTCAGCAATGCAGGCAGGGACAGTCTGGTGAGGCCACACACACACACACACACACAGAGACACACACAAAGACACACACACACACACCTCTCTAAAGACAGCATGCGCGCATCGGTCCAGTTTTGGGACGCAGGTAACGAAGACAGGCTTTCATGGTGAATTCTCTCTCTTTCCTGGCCAGGATCAATTGCTACAACGCTTTAAACGCCCAGAGCCCTTTTGGGGGATTCAAAATGTCAGGAAATGGAAGAGAAATGTAAGCACCGAGAGGCGGCCAAAGGTTTTTGGGAAGGGTGAGGGGTGG